TTTTTTGAACTCGATTAAGATTTTCTGATTTTGTATCAGCCATCATAATGCGCACTGTGAATTCGTAAGCTTATGTACTGCAATTTTGTCTATTGGTGTATAACTGTTTGGATAAGTAAAGTAGTAACTATTGGCATCCTGGATTTAACACAACATAATTATTTGGTGCAGATATTTTGCATTTTGCTTGCTGTTTTGGCAATGCCATTTGGGCGCCATCCCCATCCTATCAACCTGTTTTGGATAAATAAAAAAACATTTTGATATTATGATGTACCATTGTTTCGTTAGACATGTGAAAATAGCAAGGACGCTATATCATTGCATTCAGTGGGAGTAGTTGCTTTCTTATATTTGATTTTGATTAAATTGATTATTAAATGATACTGTTCAATTGATAGGAACTAGAGAGGAACAATGTTGATGCTGCTAAGTTTGCTCCTTTTTGGAATGAAGACTACATTAATAGTTTGTGAGTTTTACTTGTGGCCATGGCATTTTCTGTTATCAGATCTTATTCATTGACTGCTCACTAAAGTTCACTAGACACACATTCATCTTCTTTAATATACAGGGAAATGGAGTTGCTTTTAATGACTAAAAAATCAGGGATAATAGACAATATTCCCTTGGTTCATTGGCCTCTGTTCCTTCTAGCAAGCAAGGTTGCTATCAGAAATTATAATACTTGTTTTGTTTCTATGCTAGTTAAGTATGCACATATTGTTATTTCTCTTCCTGGTATGTATGTCTTTTGCCTCTTGCACAGATATTTCTTGCTAAAGATACTGCTATTGACGGTAAAGAGCCCAGACTTTCGCAAGAGGAGGTATGGGACAGGATTTTAAGGGACGAATACATGAAATATGCTGTTCAAGAGTGTTATTATACCCTCAAGTTAGTTCTCACATCTGTGTTGGATACTGAGGGTAAGAAGTGGTAAGTTGATGTCTTAAGGAAAATATTTCTGGCTTGCAAGTTATTTGGTCAGAAAGATTCATCTCTCTTCTTGTGCCATTGCAGGGTTGAGAGAGTATATGACGAGATTCAGAGAAGCATAGCTAATAGGAGCATACTTGTTGATATTGAATTGAATAAGCTACCACTAAGGATTCAGAAAGTTACTGCACTGTTGGGAATACTGGTTTGTATTTGAAGTTCCATCCATTGCAGATCATTTGTTTTGTTGTGCATGTACATATGGCGTAGTTTCAATTCTCATTATTGCATTATCATGACAATATGTGTATATGTATGTGTGCATGCTTGTGTATATTTATAAATATACATAAAACTATGAGAGCTAGTGATATGGAAACTAAGAGAGCTTGTTGCATACAAAGACATTTTGTTCCGAGGGGGAGGGAGGGAAGATAGCTCAAAGCTGGCTAACCAACTTCATCTTTGCAGGAAGCTAGACACAATGATAATGGGCGGGCGCCTCATTCAGCTTGGAGAAATTATGATGATTTCAATGAGTACTTTTGGTAAGGTCTTTTTTGAGGTTGTATAAGTCTTGAATTCTCCTTGTCATAGATACAGTAAATAACTCGTAGTCATCTTATCTTTAGTTGTATTTCTTCTTTTATAGGTCACTTAATTGCTTTGAACTTAGTTGGCCATGGAGAATAACTTCACCCTTCTTTCTGAAGCCGACACCAAGATCAAAGGTCTGATGCATTCGTGTTCGCATTCATAATATGTTTAAGTGAATTTTCTTTATAAGGATATATTAAATCATGATAGCTGAGTGCAGGTTTAGTGATATACTGATATTTCCGCAAACGGTCTGTTGTTCCTCACCTCTAACCTCACCTTTTGGCCCTAAACAATGTTAGTTAACAAATTAGCCTCCAAATTAATGGGTCATTTTTTATCCAAGCACTTCTCTTTCTAGTCCTTGTTAAAGTTCTCGACATCTAAATTTGTATCTATATTTTTGGTTAATCTTAGATATAATGACATAAAAGAAAGTAAAAATAGAACTTTGTACAAGATTTTCATTTGGCTCAAGTTGGCAACGCCATGGATTCAGAATTAAGGCTTGGTTAGTTGGTTGGATGTTATCATACTTTATTTTATAGAATATTTTAATTTTCGGACCTTTTAAAAAAAATTATTAGTTACTTTATTTTTTATAGTTATAATGAATATGTACCTACCCACAAATCCCTCTCCTCGGAACAAATTCTAACCACACACTTTTTTTTTAACAACTTTCTTAAATTCTTTGAAGTCAAACTCTCGAGAATTCTATGGGACGGATGGAGTATATTAATATCGTTGTAATTTAGAGATTTCAAATTTAGCTCTTGTATGCAATATTATATCTGGATCTGGTTTGGGGTTTTTTTGCTGCAGACAATGTAATTTTCCACCATCACAAAATGGTCTTTAAGTTTGACTTTTTGGGTCCAATATTACAAATTTTGGTTCTGATTTGAGGAAAACTTAAATATTTTTCTAACGTAATTTAAAGAAGTGATGTGTTGTTTAGATG